GACTATATATTTATATTATTTTATTTAAGCCATTGTAACGAATGTAAATTCGTTTTTATTCATTTGTACTTGGACTAATTAAGTACCTGCTTTCAAAAGTTTGTATATTTGAAACGTAACTCATCCCATATATCTGGGAAGGTAGCAGTACTTAGAGACTTTAGTAGCCAAAACGACTCCCCCCACGCAATCTACATAGACTTATCAGACTTATATTTTCAATTACTCAGTAAATACGATATTTTCCATATTTTTTTAATTTCATATATCGCACATCCCATTCAAAACTGTATCAAGTAAAAAAAAACAAAAACGGGATTATCTCAGTAGCATGCAGAAAAACACCGAAAGTTTATCCGTGCAAAACCGTATTAACGTAAGTTCAACCATTTTTCACTAGATGGGGTCACTTGATTTGTCATATATCAAAAATGGCACGAGATCCCCATGCAAAACAGTATTAAACAGTATTATTTTGGCGTTTATAGGGGATGGATCGTGTGTTTCCCTTCAAAAGCGTATTAACGTTAAAAGTGCGGTCATAAAATAGGAATTTTTTAGTGGAAAAGTGCATCATTCCAATTTACTACCCTTTTCTCCCAAAAGCGAGGTAAGTATGTAAACAATGTCTTGGATTAAAACTGTATTATCTCAAGTTGATACAGTTTTTTTCGGAATCCGCAATAATATATATTATATTCAGGTTTATAAAAGAGTATTATCTTGGTTTAAGACGCTTTTGCTCGAGAGTAATACCAAATATTAGAATTGCTTCAAGAGAAAAGAGCCTCTTTTTGAGTTAATACAGTTTTTTTCGAAATTATGTATTATTTTATGAAATTATAATGGTTATAAAAGGACATTTTTTCGATTTATTATGCTTTTTCTCGAGCGAGGTTGTATTTTGATACAATTTTTTCTACTGAAAAACAAGAAAATTAATCAAGAAAATCATAATTATTATTTCAAGAAAAAAATTATAAAAAATAAATTTTCTTTGTGTCTTTTAGAATGTCAATCAGGGCAAGAACTGCTAGAATTTTGAGTGCTGCTGCTAAAGTAGTTGCAACGGAATTGCAACTTGCTGAGCCAGTTTGTGGAATCCAAAATGATTTGACATCTGTAAATAGTGCTAGTCCTCATTATAATGCAGAAAACTTGTCCGAAAGTGATAGATCTTTAAATGATTCTCAAATTAATGCTGCGAATTGTGCTGCATCTCAGAATTATACCTCACTAAATACTGAGTCCACACACATTGACGGAATCCAAATCCAACAAAATTTAACATCGATACCTGTCAGTAATTCTGGCCCTAATAATAATCCTGAAACTTTGACCGAAAATAATGGATTAAATGATAACTCCGAGGATAACCCTGAGGTAAATGCTGAATCTGAATTTTGTCCTACACCTCAGAACTATACGCCATTAAATAATGAATCGAATGAATACATTTCATTATCAATCAAACATCAAAAATTTCATGAAGCTCCTGATACCTTAACTTCAAATTTACGCACTCCAAGAACGTCTGAGACTAACATCTTAAAAACTATGACTGCAAACCCAAATGAAAGTGAAACTGAAAGCGAAGATGATGACGATAGTGTTAAAGATCCCAACACTCGAAGGAAGACTGAGACTAGCACCTTAAAAAATAGGACTGCAAAACCAAATGAAAGTGGAACTGAAAGCGAAGATGATGACGATAGTATTAAAGATCCCAATTTTGAAAGTTCTTCAAGTTCGAGTAGCTCAAGTTCAGATTCTTCTTCTTCTTCTTCTTCTTCGTCATCTGATGAAGAAATTGGTCGAGAAGTCTTGAGGGAAATAGTTGCGACAAGAAACACTGAAGAAGTACATGAAGACTTGGAAAATAATGCTACAAATGGAAAGAAATGTAGGAAAAGATTGCGAAACGAAAATGAGTGGAACAAAAACAAGATAAAGAGATTAAGAAATTCCGGCAAGGAGTACATTTCATCAGCAAAATCGAAAAGAGTCGTCTCTGCTAAACAAGTAAAAGAGTCTTGTGGTGAAAAATGCCAACACCAGTGTTCTAAAAAATTTGACAGGGAACAACGTTTACAACTATTCAATGCTTATTACAGCCTCGAGAATATTGATAGAAAGCGTGATTTCTTATCAAAGCATATGGAATTAATTACACCAAAATATCGTTATGTTAGAGCTGCCAGTAACCGAAGACTCAATTTTGCTTTTTATTTCAGAACCTCTGATGGCAAAAAACTGAGGGTTTGCAAGAAATTTTTTAAAAATACTCTTGATATAAATGATAGGACAGTACTTACAGTGAGAGATAAAACTTTGCCATCGGGCGTTGTTAGTGCAGATGGAAGGGGAAAACATAAAAACCATAAAAAAATAAGCGATAATTTGAAGAATGATGTCAGAAATCATATTCAATCAATTCCAAGAATTGAAAGCCATTATCTGCGGGCACAGACATCGAGAGAATTTATTGATGGTAGCAAAACCATTGCTGACCTCTATAGAGACTACAAACTTGCATGTGAGGCTGAAGGCAAGGCGACAGTAAATTATCACATGTACGCAGATATTTTCAACACAGAATTTAACATTTCCTTTTTTATTCCCAAAAAGGACCAATGTAGTCTTTGTTTTCAATACAATACCGCTGATGAAGAAGGCAAAGAAAACTTGAAGTTGCAGTATGATGAACATTTAAAGGAAAAAGTATTATCGAGAAAGGATAAGGAAGAAGATAAAGCCAAAGTAAATCAAAACTTTATTGTGGCTTGCTTTGACATGCAAGCTGTCCTACCAATTCCTAAGGGGGACATCTCAATTTTTTATTATAAATCAAAACTCAACACAATGAACTTGTCAGTTACTGAAATTGGGAATGATGCAACCTGGTGCTATGTTTGGCATGAAGGAGAAGGAGGAAAAGGGGCCACAGAAGTAGGGTCTTGCATCTTGAAATACTTAGAAGAAAAAGCAAGCAAATGCGACAGTGAAGAATTAGAAATAGTTCTTTACAGCGACAATTGTGGAGCACAACAAAAAAATAGGTAAAAAAAGACATTCATTCAATAATCTAGGTGATAGTATAAGATTTATTCAATTTGTTCCAGATACTTGATAGCACTTCTTATGTATGCGGTACAGAAATATAAAATTAAGGCAGTCACCCACAAATACCTCATTGTTGGACATACACAAAACGAGGGAGATGCCACCCATTCTGTAATTGAAAAACAGGTAGTTCAATTTTTTCTCATCAATCATTTAGTTAAATAATTTTTAGTTTCTCGCAGCTTTTCTCTACTTATAAAAATTTCATAAGATAAGCTGACTTCATTGCATAACATCATTCGGCAACAAAAAAATATTCTACCCGCCCAATGTAGAACGCCATAAGCACCTATCAAAGCTATCACCGAATGACATCGTGCGACAAAAGAGGCTTATTTTATTCATGCTGGGGATGCTGCTATTCCATCAGCTTTCATTTGTTTATACATTTCAGGTGACCAGAGCATTAAAATCAGGACCTATCTTTGTTCCTGATCAGTTTGTAATGTTGATAAGAGTAGCAAAGAAAAAAGGATCCCCATATTTTGTGAAAGAATTATCACACGATGATTTTGTCGATGTGAAGCAGCTTATGGCTGATACTGGGATAAATTTTAATGTGAATACCAAGGGAGAGCAAGTCTTTATTAGTAACCTTCGAATTGTAAGAGTTGAGAAAAACCAGCCATTTCTGTTTTTTTACAAAATGTCGTATACAGAATCGGAGGAATGGAAATCGGTGGATGTTCGTGGAAATGCAATGGTGAAAAAAACTACCAGACGATCAGAATCTGCAAGCACTCGGTTGAACACCTTGCCAACTCTGAATAAAGCTTACAAATCCAAGCTTACAATTAATGAAAATAAGAAAAAAGATTTGAAATTTCTATTGGAAAAAAATTTTATACCAAACTATTACAAAGGCTTTTATGAATCATTATTTTAGTTATGTTAGTTGACTGTTGGTTCAATTACTTATTCTTTGTTAATCAATAACTAATTGGTATTAAATTAGTAGTTAGAATTCAAGATTTTATTTTTTTACGTTTTTTTTAGAAATTTATTTGTTTTGTTTCAAGAAATTTATATTATTTCTCATATTATTTAAGAAAGTAGTAGCATTTTCTTCTCAGTCATCAATATTATGCATAAAAAATAAAGAAATTATAAAACTCAACACAAAAAGGGTTTAAATATTTTGTGAGAAAAGTGTATCATCTCAAATCAAAGTTCATTTTCGAGACTTCTAGGAAAAATAGAGGATTTTTTTTTAGAGTGTGGTTTTGTGAGCATATTCATTGAAATAAAACCAAAGCATGAAATATCTAAGCCTAATATTGAATGCAAAATGAAAAAAACAATGTTCCAAAATTTTATTTTGCTTATCCTGTAAAATTTCACATTTTTGACTTACTACGGCTTTGAATGGGGTGTGCGATATTTCAGACTATAAGGAAGCCTTTGTGAATCTCACATTCGAAAACCAAAAATGGGTTCTGATACAGCCGAGCTCTTTCAATCCAATCAATATAATTATTGCTAAAGGACTGAGACGCCGGCCAAGCCTCACACGGCTATAGAGCAACTCACACAACAAAATATGCTCATATCTCCGGTAACCAAAAATACTTATGTTTCTAATTGGAGCCAGAGAAAAAATGAACATATTTGAAAAAAAAAAAAATATATGACATATTCAATGTTCAAAATACAATTACAGTCAGTTGGTATATGGTTGGTATGAAGAATAGAACAACATGGAGACAAACCTGATGTTCATCTTGTGGTAACCAAAAAAAAATATTTTTTTTGTACTAATATCAGAGAATTTTTTCATTCCGACTTAATTTTTGATTACGAAAAAGCTTCATTCCATCACTAGTGAAAGAATATTAATTTATTCCATCACTTGTTGATTATAGAATGAATACTTGTGACGCCATCTAATATCACAGCTGAAATTGAAGGAAAAAATAGGCATGTTCGTTTATTTACTCCAGCTTCACTATGCTAACTGCAGAAATACTACAAAACCAAAATACTATATGATGCAAGTGAATTACTAATATATCGGCGGTTTTTATTAATTGCTAGACCAAGAAACCATTGTCACTTGCAGCGTTTTTGAAAAAATAATGGAGGAAAAATGAAAAATGCTGTTTAACAATACATATTGTGGATCGACAATTTAGACACATTAGGTCTGTTTTTACAGAAATTACAAACCAGTCAAAACTAATTCCATTGGTTGAAAACAGTCAGAAACAGTTGGGAAACTAGTTTCAACCAATCAAAATGAAGTTTCAATAGATAAAAAGTTGTAGGTTACATTAAAATAAAAACCACTCACAAAGTTTCAGATGAGAACTAATAATTAAAAAAAAAACTGCAATGTATGTTGCGATAAAAAAAAAGTATTACAAGAAAAATCTCCAAAGTCTCCTGGTCTATTATACATTAATTTATTTCATAACCAAAAATGACATATTTTTGGCATTTTTCAACAAGTTTTTAACCTATAAAGCTTCAGATGACATGACTATGGCATTTTTCCAATCGTTTTTGACCTGTTTCTACTGTCAAAATTTTGTATGTTACACCGGGAGCTCAAATTGGGATTAACAATTTTTGTACTACTTTTTTTTTTATGGCAACTGTACTGTGAACTCTAAAGTTTATTTTGAAGAACCTAAACAAAACGATAAATAATTAAATTTTATTGGAATATCTAAACAAGGGTTCTGACAAATTGATAGTGTTACAATTTATAAGATTTTAATTATAATTACATGTAGTACTTTCATTTCGACGTGATAATCTACGCCTGTAAGGATAAAAACTGTATATTTTTTTTATACAGTGATGACATCAAGTCCGTCCCCCCGCTCTAACTTTTGAACCCCTCGGTATATTGCTATGAAATTTAGAATGATAATATTTGAGCAAACTTTCCATTTTTTGGAAAAGAAATGACAGCTTCAGCTGGCATGAAGCAAAATGGAGAATTTATTCAAGTATCATCATTCCAAATTTTGTTGTAATATACCGAGCGGTTTAAAAGTTAGAAGGGGGCGACAGACTTGATGTCCTCACCCTCACTGTATAGACCAAATAAAAGCAAACTTAAATATTAATTATGTAATAAAATTTTAGTGAAAGAACATTTGTAAAACGCGCCCAGTCAGTGAATAAATATGAGTCCATAATTCACATCTTGAACATCCATTCATCAATTTATTCAAAATAGCGCCACAATCAAATACAGACATAAAGTTAATAAAAATCAAATAATCGTCAACTAGTTCTCCAAAGGTGAGAATTATGAACTAGTAGCCGTAGCCACCTGTGTAGCCACTCCATTGGTTGTAGCCTCCGTAGCCACCTTGTGGAGGGTATTGCCAATTCTGATATTGGTACTGATCACCTAGAAAAAAAATCATCCAAATTAATAAAATTTTATCATTAGTTATACATATCACATCTATTTGCTGAGTCCTCATCATTTAAAATGCTTATTCTGCGTTTCAGCTTATTATAAATATATTTATTTTCCTAGAATAGTCAGTCAGTTGAAATTAATTATAATTGTACCATTTATTGTAACGTGCTTTTGCTAGTGATAATTTCAGATTGTTAATAAAGTCATTTTTTTAAAAACCAACCCTCGGCTTCTGACTTGTTAACTGGCGCAGTCGACAAAACGTGTTTTTTCGGTACTGATTATCGGTTCATCGGTATTCGGACTAACCAAGAAAAAAAAGAACCTACGTTAATTGTTTACTGTGAGATGTCAGAGTGGCTTTCTAGATATCGGAATACCCAAACCTCTAAAATTCTACCTATTTAAATTTCACAACATATTCGATGGTTTATTAGGGCTTGATAATCTTAAAAACTTACAAGCCAATATTAATTTTGATGCAAGATTTCTAGTAACCCCATACAAAAGAATTAAGTTGCAGTTCCATTAAACTGACACATCAATATATGTTTTCTCCTCGAGTTGAACAACTTGTGAAAATTAAAACTGATATACAAGACAGCGAGGTTATTATACATTATACCCTATTAGAGGATACATAACTGCGAAATTCCAAACTCGCTGAGTACAGGGGCGTCGCGTCGGGGGGGGGGGGGGGGGTAATGGGGGTAATTACCCCCCCAGGATCCAAAATTCAAGGGAAAAATCACGATGCCCAAATTTCCAAATGACCATGGACAGTATATTACGAGGAATCCAGAAACGAAAAATGTCTTGTATGTGAACGACTCAAATTGGTTTGCTAAAGATTACGTGAAACCAATGTCAAAATTCAATTGGATAAAAGTGAATTTTCCAGAAGAGAAGTTGCATATTTAGACCATATAGTGACACTAGCAGTACGACGAAAGCCATACAAAATCAAAGCCCTAGAAAATTACCCAATTTCAAAAAATACAAAACAATTAAAAGCTTTCTCGGACTACTTGGGTATTAAAAAACGAAATTTTGCAACATCATTTTTATTTTTTCCCGAGTCTATTTGAAGAGCAATTTAAAAATAAATGTCACTTCATTGTTGTCACTTTTTTCTCTCTACTAAATGTTGCAACCAAATTTCAGATTCTATGTTTCGTCTTTGGGCGGTCATCATCAACTTTATTTTTTCAAATACGGACCTGGATTTTTTATTTCGGATTTTCAGAACTTCTGATGTCTCAAAACCAATAACGTATTACACTTATTCGAAATATTTATATTATTGGCTCTTTCCATAAGAACTTGATGTATTAGAGGGAGACAGAGAGGAGAATTTTGGTAGGAAATTATTGAAAAGTGAAAAAATATTTTTTCGAATAAATGCGATACGTCATAGATCTTGAAACATCATAAGCTTCTAAAATCCGAAATAAAAAATCCAGGTTCATATTGAAAAAAATTGTGTTGATGATGGCCGGTCAAAGACGAAACGTCGAATCTAAAATTTGGTAGCAACATCTTGTAAAGCGGAAAAAGTGACAATGATGAAGTGACATTTATTTTTAAATTGTTCTTCAAATGGACTCAAAAAAAAATTAGAATGATTTTGCAAAATTTCGGTTTTTTCCGAATATCTTCGGAAGTATTCAGAATTCAGAACACAACGGCATTTTATTGGTCATAAAATTACGCAACTTTGCCATGATTTAACCAACTCCATATCTCTTATAGTTTCCGGTATCCCAATGGTCCCCCTCGAATTTGGAACACCCTGTACATTAGATAAAGTTCAATTTCTCATAATTATTGACAGTTTTTCCAAGTATGCACAAGCTTACGCTCTAAATTCATTATCAGCCACCGAAATAAGCGATATTTCAATAACGTTCTTTTCACATCACAGTATTCCATCCAAAATCATTTTAGACAACGGAACTGAATTTAAAAATACACTGGTCACAAAATTATTACAACTTCATAAAAATAAAAGTTCATTTTTGCTCGCCCGAGCATCCCCAATCAAACGGTGTTATTGAGACCTTATCTGAACATGTAAAAATTCTAAATAATCGTAGAAATCAAAAAGAAAAAATTATTGGAAAGACTATCTTGGGAAAAAATACACCATAGATGACAAATTTAAATAATTTTTTTTTGTTGAAGATGGGTTCCAACAGCTATTTAATTTAATTTAGGATTTAATATAATTTAATTTGAAAAGTCCGCCATATGGTATTGTGTGGTAAACTTTTTTAAATTAAATTATATCAAATCCTCAATTAATATAAATGGCCGTAAGAACTCACCTTTACATGAAAGGAAAAAATTGATTCACACAACCACACGGAATGAAAGGTTACATCAGTAGTAAAGGGCAACTGGGTACGTGTTTCGTCGCCCAATCACGAGCGTTGAATTAAAAACGCGTACGTTTTGGCAATGTAACCTCACCTTTAGCATTTCGTATTTTGAATTTTGTGAGACTGTCTTTGTGCAAAAAAGTTTGGTTATGTTAAATTACTAAACCGCCACAAAAAACGTATACACTAAATAGGGCCCCAGGATACAAGGAAAAGTTGGATTATTTGCCCAATAATATGTGAAATCAAAGACCGTAAAAACGAACTGAAAAGTCATGAAGTTCTCTTGAAACACCCTAGACACATAAAATTAATGTTGAATAACGAACACATCAATTTCCAAGTAATATGTATTTGGAGTGAATTGTAAAAAAACAGTGAAAACATATGATTATAATTGTAGGTATTCAAGAATATGAATTGTGGAAAAATGATAATGAGAACATTGATTGCAATTATACTGTGTGTAAAACCAGAAGAGCTAGAAATTTCAAGAAAGAGTCTATATCTGCAATAGAAGTGATTACAAAGGTAAGAAAATCTGTGCCTGGTTAATAATTAAATATGTAATTATTATTATCAGCCAAAATATAAGATAAGAACTGAAAAGGCCAGTGGAACAATAGGAATTAAAGGAATGTGCCCTTCTAAATTGATATGTAGGTTTCATGATAATGGATTTGCGTCAATCAGATTCTAGAATACACAGGCTGATCATGATATGCAATTGAGAACATCGCATTTTTCAAAGATTGACAAGGACATTGTGGTTGATAAATTAAAAACTGGAGTATCAGTGAGTATCTTACACGATGCAAGAAACTTGAAGAATGCAGAGCTTCGAAAGGTTAATTTGATTAACCGCGATGAAATTACTTATTTAGCAAGAAAATACAGGGTGTCCCACCAGGAACCACATTGATCTATATGTGAAAAACTGTATGCAGCAATTTTTTGAAAAGACAGTATACTAATATGATACTAATGTCAATGGGGGCAACTCGGCTAAAATATTTTCAAGATGGTGTCACTTCCAGTTATTCCGGAAGTAGATGAGTAGATGTCAATTGTCAACTTGCCTATTTTAAATAACACACCTTGTATATGATTGCAAATTTGGATTCTATGTAAAATTCTGAGCAGATTTCATGTGATACACCCTTTACCTAAGTTCAACTGTTTTGGAAATATTGACGGTCAAAAAATTGACTTTTTGCAACTTTGACAGGCTGTAAAACCTAAACGATTAATTTTTGAGGAAAACCGATTTTACATTCCTATCTTAGATTTTCATAAACTATCATTCGACACCAACTTTAAATTTAACCGGAGATCGAATTTAATTGGAATTTTTAATCACGGATTAAATTCAAAGTTGGTGTCAAATGATAGTTTATGTGTTAATGGTAGTGTTTAGTGGTTTTCCTCTGAAACTAACCGTTTAGATTTTACAGACTGTCAAAATTGCAAAAAGTCAATTTTTGACTGTCAATATTTCCAAAACAGTTGAACCAAGGTATAGGATATATCACATGAAATCTGCTCAGAATTTTACGTTGAATCCAAATATGCAATCTCATACAGGGTGTCTCATTTAAAATAAGCAAGTTGACGTTTACTTCCGGTATAACTGCCACCATCTTGAAAATATTTTAGCCGGGTTGCACCCATTGACATTAGTTTACTGTCAAATTTTCAAAAATTTTCTGCATACAGTTTTTCACATATAGATCGATGTGGTTCCCGGACACCCTGTACAGGCTGTAAATCCTAAACGATTAATTTTAGAGCAAAACCGATCTTACATTTTTATTTTAGATTTTTATGAACTATCAGCTGACACTAATATTTGACATCAACTTTGAATTTGCTCCATGATTGAATATTCCAATTAAATTTAATCTTCGATAATGTAAGATGGGTTTTGCTCAATAGTTAACCACTTAGGTTTTACAGCCTGTCAAATTTGCAAAAAAGTCAATTTTCAACTGTCAATATTTCCGAAATAGTTGAACTTAGATATAGGATATATCGCATGAATGCTCAGAATTTGACGTAGAATCCGAATCTTGAATAATATACAGAGTATTCAATTTAAAATAAGAAAGTTTTTTTGAATCACCCTGTATATGCAAAAGTGGAACTTCAAAAAATTTAATTTCAACCATACATTTTTTATTTGGGACACTTTTTTCTAAAATGTCAAATAAAAAAGATAGAGGGGGGTGACATTTATTACCAATGACCCTGTACTAATATTATGGTTTATTTCATTTAGGTCCGGTTTATTCACCTTCTGTCAGGTATGCAATCTACGGGAATAAAACGCAGTAATGGAATGGTAAATTTATCTTGCAGATAATTACCAGCAAGCAGCAAGTTTATCCGAGGATGAATAAACCGGGCCCAAAAGGATAAAAATATCGATAAAAATGCTTTTATGCATTTTGGATTAAAAATACCCTTTTAATGCCTGTTTTAAGGGAGTAAAGTGGGTCTTTTAATCCCCGGGATTCAATTTCACTTTATTTCCCAAGGGATTGAATTTTTTACTTCATTTCTGGGTGATTAAATGAAACAGAAAATAGAAAGGTACTTTTTAAT